GGGTATGCCCATATGTTTTTTATCCGAATGCCCTCTAGATGTTTATATTCTAAATAGACAATAGACTTTTCTCCACTTTCTAATGCAGTCCTAAAATGGAGACCCCCTAGGGAGACCACATGGGCCCAATGAGTTTCGAAATGTCACTTCAGTTGAGTTTAGTCTGCTGATGCTAGAACACGGCGCCGGTCAGGTCGAACTGGTTATATTAACATTCTCAATGAGCATTAAAACATCTTTTAGTAACAGTATTGCTTTCAAACAGCATGTATAACGCCCATAAATGTTAGACCAAACAACTGAGCGAATAACAATGCTCTATTTATGGACAACCATAGGGATTCGTGAACGAATCGTTCTTTAGATTCGGATTTTTTTAGTGAAGCGGTAGAAAAACCTGTTACAAAACCTGTTTGAACCATTCACGAAACGGACTGAATCAGCGCCAGCGGTTCTCGAGTCAACATTGAAACCGCTCTATCGAAAATGTGGGGGAAAATAGTATGATTGACAGCTTTATAAACACAGATGTTGGTTTTAATAAATAACATCCAAAAACGTTTCCAGCCGAGCGATGTAAATTAATTTAAACCAGTTTAGTATAAATAGGCTACAAATTATATTTACGATCAAAACTACTTTTGTTTTGCTGAATAATGCCTGAAACAAAACGAACTGAACACAAGAAAATACACAAGAAAAAAGGATAATAGGAACGCGCGGTGACGTATGTCGACTGATTCAGACTTTTAACAAGGTGCTTTGAAAATAACTGTTCGAAAGAACCGATTCACGGAAATGAGTCGGACTACCCATCACTAGATTAACCTCGAATCAACTCATGCAACAGAAAGAAAAGTTGTCACCTCACCGGCACGGAGTAACTTTACAGAACAGAAGGCAAGTGAAAAAGACATTTTCAATAGGCAAATAAAAAGTGCTCACTATTTGATATTCTCGCGAATGTCTAAAACGTGCGTGTGGGTTAAATCGCGAAGAAAAAAAAAGTTATATTAATGTGCAGTTTTAATTATGAAATTCCAGACATAAAAACTCTGTCTGGGCTTTGATCTCAGAATCCAAATGAGCTCAAAACGCTGTATAAAAGAGCAATGCCGTGCTCGTGGACGTGGTCAAACCCGTGTTTTGCTGTGAAAGTTTGACGTTACTCCCGCCACAGAGGCTCTTCTCGCTTCCCGCATTTTAACCGGCATTTGTAACTGAGCGCTTATTCAAAGCAGCGTTAGTAGATCAAGCTTACGACTTCAAGCCCAAAGAGTGTTTCACAGCGATATACAAAAATGAACGCGATTTACCTTAACATTTGCACCTGCTGCTGTATTAATAATCCATAAGTGTAAGACAAAGTAGTGTAGAATATGTCCGAATCTTGCAGTCCAGAGACAGTACATGGTTCATTTGAGAACAAGGAGACCTCGCCCCCCTGATCTTAACCAAAGACTAAAGAGAGAGAGGGGCTCGCACTTTGAGGTCTAACGGTGAACCAAAGCCTTGATGCATTAATGGCTTTACAACCTGCTGGAAGAAAAGAAAGGGGGCTGGTCAGACCCACTGACTGTGATTGACCTTGTAGATTTCAAAGTACTGCATCCATCTCTATGAGGACCCAGAAACAGAAGTTTGCCTACATTAGTCATGTCTTAGACTTAGTGAACTACTACTAATAACAGGACAAAGGCTACTCACTCAGAATCACCTGGCATGTTTCAACATGATATCCTGATCACAGCCTGTCAGTTTTATGCTATTGCCATATTTTACATAATCAATTCGAGCCATAAACATGTGTAGAAGAAAATGTTATAAGAGGTTAAATCTTAAGGGGTTATTGGACCATTTCCATGCAGCAAACTGCTTTTATTATGCTCAATGGCTGTAACATGATGCTTACTTTCCCCTCGAAATGAACATTGTCAGTCACAATATGAAATATAGCCTATTTAAGTCTAAACATCAATATCTCAAGGTATCCATCTTTTGGATATATGATGCACATTAACATGCAAATTGAATATTGTATCATGATCTATTGCACGGGACGTACACTACCATTCAAAAGTTTAGGGTCAGTAAGATTTTTTTTCATTCATAAATTAATATTTTATCCATTAAGGATGCATTAAATTGATCTAAAGTGACTGTAAAGACATTTCTAATGTTACAAAATATTTCTATTTCAAATAAATGCTGTTTGTTTGAAATTTCGATTCATCGAGGAATCCTGAGAAAATATATATCACGGTTTACACAAAAATGGAGTACACAAAAGACTGGAGTAATGATGCTATAAATACAGCTTTGCCGTCACAGTAATAAATTACATTTGAATATATATTAAAATTGAAAGCAGTTATTTTAAATTGTAATAATATATCACAATATTACTGTTTTTACTGTATCAAACAAATGCAGCCATGGTGAGCATAAGAGACTTGTTTCAAACACAAAAAGTGTGCATGCCCTAAAAGTCCATAAAAATTACACAATCTTAGTTTAATTACCTTATTATTTATTCACCAGATTAATTATATTTAAACCAACACACAAGGCATTATATATCGTTCTCATGCCACCTTAAATTTAGGTTTCTGACAACAAAGGCATGTTCAGACACTCCGCCAAAGAGCCTTGTGTCCTTTCACTGATTTCCCTGACTGTGCTTTTCCATTTAAAAATAACAGCTGGATAACTAAAGTAAACCCACTATTCTGTTGCTATTAATTCCAATATATTATATTTGCTAAATAAAACATCAAAGCAATCCATCTAGCATAATAAGTTGCAGTCAGTTAACATTGAACAAGCATATATGTCACGCATTTGTGTGTGTGTGTGTGTGTGTTCCTGGTAAACCCCACGTTATGGGGACCAAATGTCCCAACAAAGATGGCAATATCCAAAATTCTTGTTCTTGTGGAGACATTTTTTGGTCCCCATGAGGAAAACAGCTTATAAATCAACAAAATCATCATAACAAAAAAATATGTTTTTTGAAAATGTAAAAATGCAGAAAGTTTTCTGTGATGGGTTTTAAATTTAAATAAAATGAATCTGAATCTGAATCTGGAATGTCCCCGTAGAACATGAAAACCCCACGTGTGTATGTGTATGTGTGTGTGCGCATGTATTTTTAGACTCCATCATTCATGACATAAAGAGAATAAAAACTCCACACTGGAACAATGCCAGCTTGTTGCAAATACTTGATATATGAAACAATAGACACCTGTGATAAAAAAACATGACTTTTGATTAAAGACCTATAGCAGCATACTTGTAGGTGTGAGTCAATGTCAAGAACAGCTTCAGTGCTGCTTCACACTGCTGAAGGGCATTGTGCCTACACAATAGACTTTTGTTTGGAGCTGCCAAACTAAAGGAATCTTTTTCTTACAGATACTGACATATGGACATTCCCAGTAATATAAAATGAAACGTAGATCAAGCATTACCAAACACAAAGAGCTATCTGTCAGGCATTTTAGAGACACCCTAAAATCACTTGTGCTGATTTAATGTTAGACATTTATGACAGTATTGGATTGGTATTTGTACATTTATTTTATCTGATGCAATGATGTAAAAGGAGTTATGATATACATCCTTTTATAATGGAAGCCAAAATTATACACAGACCACTTTTCTTTTCTTTTTTTTTACAAATTCAACATTTACAATTAAACTACAGTGACCCCAAAAATGTATTTGGACACTTTTGTTGCATTAGATACAAAATATCCAAGTGGCCATGTGATTTGCCTCAAGTTTACACAGGCATCCTAGACGAGTACATAACTGTAGTTAACTGCATGTTTCTAGAAAGTGCAAATACTTCATTTTTTTCTAGCCATTCTGAACTATATCTTTTGGTTTATTATCTGAAACCTATGAAACATTGTCTTTTTCTTAATATTAGTGCCCGAGCACCGATGGTGCGGGAACCCTCTTGGAAGTACTCTTGTTTATTTTGTAATGTTTTATCTTTCGGAAGTTTAGAGTTTTTATTCTTAGCTGCTCAAGTAGTAAATACTAACAAATTATATGCACTTTTTGGTAAGAATGGTTCTGCTAAGAACATAAATGTAAAATCTGAGGTCTCTGCAAAACATTGGTAACAGTGCTCTAGTCTGGTATAGGGTGAATTAAGGTAATACAGGACATTTTCCCCCACACTTTTGACTTCTGCAATTAACTGTTATGTCAACCCAACTCTTTATACTGTACAAACAATTTGCATCTCTTTGAAATTGTCAAAATTTATATACATAACTTTGGTCAAAATAAATGTTGTTTGCTTTTGGTAATTCAGGACAGTTCACTTTAGGACAGTCTATATCCCCCTAATTCAAGTGTGTGCATTGCGCATGTGTGTGTAAGAATGAGTAAATGAGTGAGAGTGATATGGAGGGGAGATTTCAAATAAATCATTAGTTGCATATACTGTTTTATAGTCATTCATTGGATAAGGAGGGATACCTGCATCTTTTTTGATAATATCATAAATATATCAAATGGATTTTTGCTTAATATTTTGAACACTTTTTTCATTTTGAAAAATAAACATATTACCCAAAGTTAAAATAACCAAGTAGTTTAATAATAATATTGTCACACAGGTAATTTGCACAATAACATTTTCCCATTTGTTTTGATACCTTGCAATTCGTCTAAATGGCAGTAGATGGCGTAAACGCTCTACTTCAGATGCAGCTTCATTGGTATTTGGAGACTTTCTGTCTGTAAATCATGATGTCTTTCAAAAATAGATAGATGTTTTTTGACTCATAAACAACTGGACAATATCTAAAACCTCTAGAGAATTATTTCATAATTAAGACATAATTAATTTCCACAGTGAAATGCTTTTGAATACTTTTACCATGAACATGCTATTGGGCATTTTAAATTATTTATATCTGTACTGTTTTGTTTTGTTTTTTTCTTTAGTTTTTTGCGTTTATTTATTGTAGAGCAGTAAAAAGTTTGGGTCATTGATCCAATGGCAGAACTCCTCCCTGTCTTCAAACACTGCTTTAGGTTCCTGCCCACTGACTTCTGTTCATACAGCAAACCTTTCAAATATCCATTCATCACTGGCTATCCAACACACTGAAGGTCTTCTTTCTGTCTGTAAAAACCATAAGCATCTGCTTTCACCAAACCAAGGACCCTTTTGACGTCACCAGGGGCACTTTTTACATCTTCATTAATTAATGGACCATTGATGCATAGATTACATGAAGAATAATTGCATTTTTTCTTGGACGAACAGACAAAGAAAATACTTCACCTTGACATCTTACTAAAATTGCTTTAGCAGCTCTTCTTGTCTGAAGAATTTTTATAATGGAATTATTGTTTTTGATTTTTTGCTGTGGCACGTTTTGTTTTACACGTGCAAGTGTGACGGAGCAACAGACTGCTGACAATATAGAAAACCGTGCAACTCTAGAAGATGAAATGGACAATCAGGAAAACATCTTAACACAGGTAATTTTTCTACATCTACATTTTTAAAAATCAAATGATTACATGAACATACTGTATGATAGTTAGTGAGTGTATTTTACATTAATAATAATATTAACAATAATTGTATTATATTATTAAAGAATTTGCATTACCAATTTATGTATCTACATGATATAATATATATGTCATGCAAGTCATATGTACATAATATAATCTATAAAGCACTATTTTGAAATATTTGAAAACTTTAATTAGGGTTAATAAGGGTTTTGTTTTTATTTATACTTTGTAAATAATAATGATTCCATTCTTGACTCTAATAGCTCATTGGGGACTATGATAAGGTGAAGACTCTCTCTGAGGGCTCAGACTGTCGGTGTAAGTGTGTAGTAAGGCCTCTGAGCAGGAGCGCATGCAAGCGCATTGAAGAAGGTCATGCCAAGCCTGAGGACTTCTACACAGTGGAGACAGTCACTGCAGGACCCAGCTGCCAGAAGTGTGCCTGCATCGCCCCTCCGTCCGCCCTGAACCCCTGTGAGGGAGACTTCAGGTTTAAGAAGCTGCAAGACGCCGGGCGGGACGATATCAAGGTAAAGGGAATCATCCATCACAACAAAAAACAACTGCACTGGTTTTAATAGATGGTCCCTAATAATACTGGATCAGTTTTAAAACCAGACTTATCCTATTTCTTCTGATGACTTGTTTTAGACTTAAATAAATGAGTATTATAAATAACTTATATTAACCCTCTAAACTCTTCATTTTAAATGTTTCAGCTTTCAACCATAATGGACCTGCTAGAAGGAGCATTTTATGGGATGGACTTATTAAAGCTTCACTCCGTCACAACAAAACTTCTGGAACGGGTTGATAATATTGAGAAAGTAGTGAGTTATATATATAGTACATTACATTTATTAATATTTTACACACTCAATGATAAATCAATAAATTAATTACCTGCTGTGGGGGCCATAACTTTTTTTATTAGTAAAAAAAGTGTTGTGTTAGTAAAAGGGAAAAAAAGTTAAGCTTCCTTTACCATATTAGCAGACCTATCCAGTCATGGTACATTAAGAACAAGAACAGGTTGTCACATTATTTATTTTCAATCATACTGTTCCCTAAAACAACAATGTTGCTTCTGTGCACTATTCAGTATTACCATGGCAACAGAAATCACTGTGTCCTTTCAAATGTTGCCACTGGACAAAGGGGAATTGAGTTCAGGTGGTTTAGGCGGAACTGCCACCCATGGACTATTGTGTTTACATTCTCCCTACAGTCGTTTTCCGGAAACTTGACAAAGGATAAAGTGAGCGTGAAAAGTGAAAAAGCGCAGGGGAAGGGGCCTCGCTCCAACCAGCGGCAAGAGAAGAAGAAGCGTCTCAGTGTGCTGGAGCCCTCGCTGCAGAAGAATGTGGCCGCTGCGTTTGCTCACACCGTGGTACAGATACAGGACACACTAGCACAATCCATTACAAATGCCTTAATATTTGTCTCACTTCACATAGATGGCAACTGCCAACATGTAACGAATACACACTGCAAATGTCATTTATAAAATTCATGCAAAGGGCAAAGCCACCAGTACTAAACCCTGCCCAGTGGAAACAGTGGTTGAATTTACTGTGAGCTTGAAGACATGTCAGTAGAGAAAATAGTCGATTACAGCCATACTACTTTCCCACAGCATGCTCAAGTCATTAATACACCACAAATTCCCCCATCTCATCCAGGAGATTTATGCAGCCACACAAAAATGGGCGGCTTGGAAAGAGACAATTAATGCTGCTTATTTGATGCAGTGATAATTACATACATTTGTGAAGATAATAATTTAACTGACAATTTCACTGTTCCTGAGCAGAGGAAATATGAGGAGAAGTTTGTTGGGAATCAGGGCCCCAGCAAGCCTGTGCTGAAGAGAAGCAACTCTGGGGATCAGGAGGAGCCACATAAACCTGTGAAGACCAAAGCTGGTCCCAATGGCATGGCCATCAGAAGCATGACCTTCTACAAAGCCAACACGATGGAGGAGAGTGAGGGGGAAGAGCACAGTGAGTGTCCAACCTCTCATTTTACTCACCAGAATTTTTTACTTTATTATATCCATTTTAAAAATGTATGCTGTTACACTGGGACCTCAAGTTGCAGCTCCTACGTTGATCAAAGATATTAGCAACTGAGGAAAAAAACTAAGAAGGAACAACAAGAAGTTCTTGTGTTTCAACAAGAAGCTAAATGAAAGTTCAACACTGATAATCACTCATTAGCATTACATAGTGACCCCCCACATTATTTTAACAGCAACCTTGTTTCCAGAAGTACTACTTTCCCTATTTATTTTATCCATAGGGTTTTCAAAAAACACTTCAGTAATGAGTTCTAAACCATGAACTAAACCAACCAGTTTTGAAATGAATCACAACATTACAAAATTCAATGTAAAACAAAGGTATATGAAAATCTGAAGAAAAAAAAAACTTAATGTGTACTTAATGTCTTCTATGAGGCAATGAATTACTGCAAATGATGTAATCAAATTAAAACAATATACAACTATTCATTTATTGCAAAATATTTATGCATATAAATAAACTACCATTCAAAAGTTTGAGGTCACTGTTTTTATAAGTCTCTTTATGCTCAGCAGGGCTGCATTTATTTGATAAAAAATACAGTAAAACAGTAATATTGTGAAACATTACTACAATTAAAAATAATTGTTTTCTATTTTAGTATATTTTAAAATCTTCAGTGTCACATGATCCTTCAGAAATCATACTTATGCTGATTTGGTGCTCAAGAAACATTTTTTATCAATTATTATTATCATCAATGTTGAAAACAGTCACTTTTGATCAATTTAATGTGTCCTTGCTGAAGAAAGTTTTAAATGGCAGTGTAAATGCATAAGAAATGTAAGGAGCCCCTAAAGGGACGTGGTGGTGGAAAGAATTTGGGATGGGAGACTTTTTTTTTAATCTTTTGCGTTCCCTCGCAAAACTTTTGCGTTCCCTCGCAAAGATATTTGCGTTCCCACGCAAAAACTGTTGTGAGCTCGGACAGACACTTCCTGTTTAATGTCCCGCTGGCAGTGTTTCAGAGCTCCGTACGGTAACAATGAAGCGTTTCATAGTGTTTGAACTTGGACTCAAATATAAAGAAATGCGGTCAGTGCTTAACTCAAGAAGTTCAGTGAATTTGGCAATATATTCACAGATTCGAACTTCCCGGATCAATATTCGTGAGAAGTTCGTCAATATTTAACACAAATGACACCTATTTACAATCATAGTAATGTAGACAACGAGCTACAGACCAATTTTTCTCAAAACGAGCTTTTAATATATAAATTGATCTCTATGAGCAGGCGGCTGAGAGACCTTCTGGTGCAATATACCCCCAAAAAAGTGACTACAAAAATAGTCATTAACTTCAATGTTACACACTGTAGTGTCACCAAATTCAGTTTACACATCAATGGTCTCCCACTGGTCAAACTACAACACTTAGTTTGGCAAGTAATGGCACATAAAAAATAAGTAGGCCTATTCTTTACACAAATTTGGTACGCAGCTAACATACTAGTTACAACCATAGCTTTTGCATGATAATTGCTTACTGAATTTGATGGCATTACACTGTATAACAGTGTGAAGTTATTGAATATGTTTTCTAATAACGGTGATTTTGTTTCATAATAAATAATCATAAGAATTATGCATTTTTTATCAAACTAAGTGTTGTAGTATGACCAGCAGGAGAGCAGTGATGTGTGAACTGAATTTGATGACAGTACAGTGTGTCACAGTGAAATTATTGAATATTTTTCATAATATAAAATGTGCAAAGGGGTTTTGCACTTTGCAGACGGTCCCTTATTCGGACTTGTCTCTCAACCGCCTGCTTAGAGACAAATTTGTGTTATAAAGCTCGTTTTGAAAAATATTGGGTTGTACTGTAGCTCGTTGTCTACGTTACTATGATTGTAAATGGGTGTCATTTGTGTTTTAAAAACGTTTTGCTCACGAATATTGATCTGGGAAGTTCGAATCTGTGAATATATTGCCAACTTTACTGCCAACTTTACTAAGCACTCACTGACCACATTTCTTTATATTTGTTGATAATATACATCTTCTATTATCCAAGTTCAAACTCTATGAAACGCTTCATTGTTAACGTACGGAGCTCTGAAACACTGCCAGCGGGACATTAAACAGGAAGTGTCTGTCCAAGCTCATAACAGTTTTTGCGTGGGAACGCAAATATCTTTGTGAGGGAATGCAAATATCTTTGTGAGTGAGCGCAAAAGTTTTGCGAGGGAACAAAGTTTCTCGGGGGAACAGAATATCTTTGTGAGGGAACATAACGTTTATTGTGGGAACACAAAAGTTTTATGAGGGAACGCAAAAGATAAAAAAAGAAATAAAATAAATCTCCTATCCCAAATTTTTTCCACCACCACATCCCTTAAAGGGGTCATCGGATGCCCATTTTTCACAAGTTGGTATGATTCTTTAGGGTCTTCATGTAAAGTTTGTAACATACTTTGGTTAAAATTCCTCAATGGTTGTGTAAAACAACACCTTTTTTACCTCCTCAAAAACAGCTCTGTTCACAGCAACCCGTTTCAGTGCATGTCTCTTTAAATGATAATGAGCAACGGAAATATGCTAATACGGGACAGTCCGTCAGTGGTCATGGGCGGAGCAAGAGCAATATGACATCATATTGCTCAGAAAATCCAAACGGCTTGATTATTGAGAGTGTTTAGGCTTTTTGAGGATTAAAAAAAAAGGAGTGAATGGATTTTTTTCATTGTATGGTGGTTGTGCAAAGACACATTTATATGCAAACACCATATAAAAGTGAATTTTGCAGCCGATGACCCCTTTAAGGGGCTCCGTAAAATGTGTCGGTGGAGAGAGACTTTTGCTCCATGAGGTTGGACAGACATTTGGAAAGTGTCAGATTTAGGATTTTTGCATTCCTTGTTTTTAAACGATCCAGCATTAACAAGTGCATTACATGGTGATGTGAGAGACAGAGTCAGCGTTGGATTATGCAGATGTATTTTGAGGTTATGTTTTACTATTGCACCGCAGCATATATTTTTTTGACGAATCAGCTTTTTTTAAGTTCAAAATCACTCTCATTGGTTGGTGCTTACTTCTTTACTGTTTTGAGCGCAATAAAGCGTACATTTTGGAGTGTAGTGTAACGTTTGGAGAGTGTGTATGTATTAAATATCGCCAAAATGTCAAAAATACAGTCAAGCATATTTTCATTTTCCAAATCCACGAGCAAAGCTGATGGTGTTTCTGATCAAAAGAGATCCCGAAGATGGAACTGCTAATACTAATCAGGATAGTGGGAGACACATGCAATGGGAGTTAGATCAGTCATATTCAGAAATCGATGTAATGAAAGGCAATAACGTCAAAAGTGAGAGAGAATATCACAGATCAACGGAATAATATTTGGTCTCAGCATAGCTATATACATGTAATTAGGGCCATGCAGAAAGATATGATGCTCTTATAGTTGTGAGATCACCATTTAGTACATGATACATTCCAGGAAAACTTGTATGGTCTTGTACTACTTGTAAGTTGTATGTATGGTCAGTGTCAGTCACAGAGCCTTTTCATTGCTGTTTTTGATCCGGCAATTATTCATTTCCAAATTAGGCACTGTGTAAGACCCATTATTTTCAGACTACAGGTGAAATTTCACTAACAAGTTCAACTTAAGCATTTTATGTTTCTTCTCTCAGTAGTTGCCACAGCACCACATGAGGTTGTAAGTGGCGATGGCTCTGTGGATTTAATAATTGAGGACGAGCTCCATAAGAAAGAGCCATCTGCATCTGTGACAAGACCTGGAACTCCTGCAGCAGTGACCCAGACACCCTCAATGAACCTCAACCCACAGAACGGAGACCCTTCTGCTGCAAACATGCCAAATGTGACAAAGCAAACTAAAGGAGAGACTGTAAAAGCCAAGAAGTCAGGCACAATTACAACAGCAAGGGCAATCCTGCCAACCGCGGTGACTTTAACTACCACAACGACACCAAGCACTAATACAACAAGCATTGCAACTCCTCTTGCAGTTCCAAAACAGCTGGCCAGTGTTACAGCACCCACAAAGAAGTCCAAACTTAGTTGGGATGAAGCTACGACTCAGACAAGCACACAACCCCCAAAGAAGACCAAAGAACAAGGTAAGCTTGAATCTAGATCCCGCTTTGATGATTATTAACTAAAAGAGTTTAGAGGGGCTGTATTATCTGTGATATATAGATTCTTCCCATCTGTTTTTATCGTTGACAGGGATCTGCAAGGACACATTAGCAAGCATTGCTGATCCTGTTACACACAACACATATGGTAAAAATGAAGGTGCCTGGATGAAAGACCCAAAAGGCAATGGAAAAGTTATTTATGTGACCGACTACTACTCTGGGAACCAGCTTCTGGAATTCCGTGATATGGACACCTTTAAACAAGGTACATATGACTTTAAAATGGCCATTTGAAACATACTGTACTGTATATTTTCGGACAGTGTAAATTAAAAAAAAGATTATTTTTATGGTTTGATTGGAACTGGACTGGTTGGAACCATAACTGTACAAAATAATAACAAATTTGCATATAGCCTACACTACTGTTTAAAAGCTTTAGGTTAGAGCATTTTTTAAAGAAATGAATACTTTTATTCAGAAAGGACTCATTAAATTGATCAAAAGTGACAGTAAAGACATTTATAATGTTACAAAAAATTCTGTTTTTAAATAAACACTGTTCTTTTGAACTTTCTATTCATCTAAGAGTCCTGACAAAAAGTATCACGGTTTCCACAATAAAAATAATAAGCAGTTTTCAACATTGATGATAATTAGAAATGTTTCTTGAGCACCAAATCAGCATATTAGAATGAATTTATGAATACATTACATTTTGAAATATATTAAAATATAAAACAGTTATTTCAAATTGAAATAATATTTCACAATATTGCTGTTTTTAATGTATTTTTGTCAAATAATTGCAGCCTTGGTGAGCATAAGAGACTTAATATTAAAAAAACATATAAAAAAAACGTACTCACCCTTATTTAGATTTTTTAGATTGAAACTTTTTCTCTTCACATTTATACATTGTAATACAGTAAACGTAATTTATAAAGTAATTTAACATTACTTTAGTAGTACTACAAAAAATGTATGGTAAAAGTACCAAAAAAAAGTACATCTTACAGATAATATCTTATTAATCATTTCAGCTACAGTAGTACAGTTACAATATTATAAAAAGCCAATTATTCAATTTTGAAGACAACATATCACAATATCATACTTTCTTTTCTCACATAGGACAAATGATTCTTTATACATGCAAATATACAGCTGCCTTTATATTTTACGAAGGGGGTCCCTTGCAACAGGATCATGATCGACCCCTGCAAGATATATGACATTTGTTTCTCTTCTTTTTCTCACAGGGCAGTTTAGCAACTCCTACAAACTCCCTTATAACTGGATTGGCACCGGCCATGTCGTCTACGGTGGCTCTTTCTTCTACAATAGAGCTTTTTCTCGTGATATAATCAGGTTTGATCTTCGTCTCCGGTACGTAGCAGCCTGGACCACCCTTCATGACGCAGTATTAGAGGAGGAGGAGGCCCCCTGGGGTTGGGGAGGACATTCAGACATTAACTTTAGTGTGGACGAGAGCGGGTTATGGTTAGTGTACCCAGCTCTGGACGAAGAGGGGTTTCACCAGGAAGTGATCATCCTAAGCAAGCTTCAACCCTCTGACTTACAGAAAGTGAAGAGCTGGAGGACGGGCCTGAGGAGGAACTACTATGGAAACTGCTTCGTCATCTGCGGCGTTCTGTACGCCGTTGACAGTTTCGAGCGCACGCATGCCAATATTTCCTACGCGTTCGACACGCACACACACACCCAGATGATTCCCCGTCTCCCTTTTATAAACAATTACAGCTACACCACACAAATCGACTACAACCCTAAGGAACGTATGCTTTATGCATGGGACAACGGCCATCAAGTGACTTACAATGTAGTATTTGCTTATTAACAGTAATTTAACACTTTATTAAGGTACTGTGTGCAGCACTTTCTGTGTAAAATAGTCAAATGATTGTGTCTTAAGTGGGTTGTAGATCAGTCTACATGACAAATATTTTTATGAATATTTCATCGTATCTTTTTTTTGGTCTGTTGCATGTCTTTTGTATTTGCTTTTCAAAGGATGTTTCTTATTCTCAAAGGGGTACACAAATATTATTGAGCAATTCGTGACAAGGTTCTCACTGCTTTCTTGAAGTGTACATGTATGTTGTATATAATGTAATTTAAAATAAACTTTATAGCAAGCTCTTCTAAACTTGTGAAGTGTCATTACCTCAGTCTAAAGTTATTTTAAGGTCAACATGAAACGTCATTCTCAAGCAACCCATTAAACTTCCATAATATGGTGTATTTTTGAGTGAAACATAATGAGACAAAGATTTTCATCTGAAATTGGATCGTCAAAGAAGGTTTTTGTTTAGCAGGTGGCTGGAAAGGAGAATATGACATTTTTATCAATCAAACATTTTTAACTTTGAATAACATGCACTGATTAATTTTGCACTAAAAGACTAGGAATGTGCATTAAATACAGATTTTGATTTCACATTGATCTCAAGGATTGGCTGATACTACTTTAGTATAGGCTACATCTGTATGTTACGAGAGTCCGCAAGCTCTACTGTAATCTCCCCTTTCCTCTGAGAAATTCCTAGGAAAACCAGCTGTGAAAGAGGAAGGGGCTAAACAGCACCTTGTGGAATTGATAAATATCACCATTACAAATTACTAGTGTTGGCACGCTACCAAAATTTCAACCGCTACCAATACCAGTACGTCACAGTTCTCTGTACGGATTTCGGTACCATAGCAAAAATATTGGAACTACTTAGTTTTATCTTACAATTTTAAAATAAAATATATGAACTAAATTAAATTAGTTAATTAATAATGATAATAATTATTAGTAGTAAATAACACTACAAAACAGCTCGCACTGAACCTTGAAGATTTTTTTTAAAAACATCTGATCGGCCATTGCATCTTGCACTAAACAGACATGTCAGTGGTTGGCAAAAAAGCTCAATGCTTCAAAAAATGTGGGAATATTTTTGCTATATATGCAAGCAAACAAACATATTTATTTATTTGCTGGTCTCTTTTCATTCCTTTAAACATTTAATTCCCTCAGCTGTGTGATAACTCAAAGGGAGATCTGTGATGTGAATATCAGTTATAATAGAAGGCTATTAATAGTTATAATACTTTGCAGACTCATTGAAAACTATGGTCTCAATGAAAACAGCATGCTCAGTCTTTCTCTTTACAAAACATGTGCAATCAGTTTCCTTTTTGGAAACCTTCCTGTGAAAGTTAAAGCTGCTCCATTAATGTCAGTCTGGTTTGAGAATATGCCTTTCTGAGTGAAAAAGACAAAACTCACTCAATACCTGACAGCGTTTGAGTGTTAGACAAGCTGAAGAAGTGACAGCTCTGATATGCCATTGACACTCACTCCACATATGACAACTGAAAGACAAGAAACACAAATGCCCCTGGTGGTTTAAATGGCCTTAAAGCATTATGAGAATGGTAGAAAACAAATTGGCTGTCCAGCAGGGCTGTGGGGAATCATTCAGACAACTACATATTAACAGGGCCCTGAATGGCGGCCACATCTGCAGAACTTTGGAGAAGTGGGATTTGAAACCCCAGAGGTCTCCACAAAGGCTTTACTTTGGCCAGGCCCACCGTCTGTCTGGGCGAGCTGACTGTGTCACGCTATACTCCAACGACTTCATATGTTCACTCACTCCAATGTCAGCCAACGCAGTCATTCATTCATGCTTTAACGTTGATGACGAGATTCCCTGCTCTTATTCTTTTGAGTTAGTTAATATTGGTCTGACTTCCTTCAGTTGGTTCAGGCTTTCGGTTGGATAACTCAGAACTCTTTTACCATATACCCCAGACACAAGACTTACGTCAACCAAAGTCCAAAATTAACACTCATCAAATGCCAAATAAGAGTAAAATTTGGCTTTCCCAAGTAAAGACAACAGAGTTACCCGCCAGTTGGCCAGAACTTCACCATTATGTGCTTTACCCTGTTAACTGTCAGTGTCCTGGTAAAGTGAGATACTTGGCATGCTGTTTTCTTGCCTTTTTTCCTTATCACATATAATTAGGTCATTTGAAAATCATTTGAAACACTAAAAATTCTTCCTGTGAAAGCCCTTTTGAACACTGGACATTGCGGTACTATGGAAACTGTCCTTAAAATCCCTTTAGTGTGCTCAATTTGTGTGATTAACTTTTGGATCACAATTAGGTTAGAACTGCTGTATGGCTTTGATTTTCTAGCAATTTGAGAGTCCAAATTATTTCGTAAAATACATATTTTGTTTTAAATCAAAAATAGTTCCCTAAAACTTAAAATGACTATTTTAACTAAAACTACACTTTCAGTGCCATTACTTCTGCAATAACTGAGTGTTGTCTTTAAAAAGATCAATCTTAGGTCTGTATTCCAAAGCATTCACAAACTACAAACATTTAGGATCAATGCTCTATGACAGGCTGTTAACAAGTCATAGCCTACTGATAAATGATAATCGGATCCTTAATGCAAGTGGCATGTGCGTGATTAAAGAAATCATCAGTGACTGTCATGACTTATGCATCTTTTCCCGCATTTTAATATTTAATATTAAAGGTTAATCCGACTTGAATTGGACCACCCAATTGAATAGGCTATTTGCCTAGTATATATCTCGAGAAAAAGTAGAGGAAAAAGCAAGCTGAAAGACAGAGAGAGGTGAACATTGAGAAGCTCCTCAGAGAGCTGACCCTTAACATATGAGAGGATGGCGAGGGGATGTTGTTGTCATGCAATGAGCTGGAGTGAGAAATGCTCCCGCTGGGCGTATCTAAGCCCATCATACATGCTCCCTCTTAAAAAGACATGTCTTCACAGTATGGGGACCATTGAACTTGCCTGGGTAATCCTCTGGAGCAAACAAAACATATAACAGGACAAAGACAGTAAACCCATGGGTCAAATTCAGCTATAATTCCCTAACGCACTTCAAATGCAATCCAAACGAATGAGGTTAAAAATGTCATGCAGAAAAACAAGGTAAGATGAGAGAGTGGAGGTCATAAATTTCGCCAGATTGTCAAGAACTTCTGGAAATACTCTTGGGGTTTTGACTGGTTAGGACTGTGGGCCTCTTCAAACTCAAACTTACCAGGTGGTTTTCATGGACCACTAATAGTTTTAGAATTACAAAAAGTGTATAGACTTTATAGACTGTGTGAAATGGCTTTACAATGTCCTTTCCTGTGTTGATGCATTTCCAATTGAAATAGGATGACGGGGCAGGACATACTGTATCAAATGGGCTTCTTTTATTTATTTTTAATAAGTGAAAAATCAATTTTCTTTTTAAATGGAATAGTTTACGTGTTGGTTTATGGAACATTTAGACAAAATATAAAAAAAAAACATTTTAGAAAAGTTTGCGTAATATGTGTTTCTTCTTGTATCATACTGAAACAGGCTTATATGGCTCATAAAATAGTGAGTATGGAGCTCATACTTGAGGAGTAAATAAAAATACCTACATTTTATTCTGAGGCCCAAACCGAGCCAAATCTCCAATTTGGTGCAGTTGCTGATATATGGCCAAAAAGTAAGAGGAAATTCTGATAGCTTGTCATATAAATAAATGAGGTCTTTATGACTGCATAGCCGATTACTTACATCAAATGCTTCTAATTATCAGTCATCACTCCCAATAATATGTCTTAGGAAGATGAAATTCAAATGCTTGCTTTTCTGATCAAAGCTCTGTATTGTGGAGGGCAAAACATAATGCAATGCAATACAATGATAATTGAGATATGTACAAATAAACACCCCTCAAAAGCCTGGTGTATCTTATTTGATAACATGATTTGTCAAAAAAAAAAAAAAAAAAAGATGTATGGAGTAAACCTAAGATGTTTCAGTCCAGTATGTACTCATCTTCAAATATTACTATCAATAAAAAAGTTAAAAATCAGTAAAGATTTCACAGCAAAAAAGCCACAGCCATGGACCATGATCTGGCACTTACTATTGCTAATGGCAGGTAATATTAGGGAATGGGACATTATCCTTCTGGAGAGCAGTTACACCCTTAAAAGAAAATACATTTTAAATGTGTATATTGTTTGTCGAATTTTGATGTATCCAAATCAATTTCACAATCTTTCTCTTTGGAAATTGGACCAAATATATGAATCCTCCTGCAATCAAAGGAATAACAAAGTGTGTTTAAATTTAAATGAGAAATATTCTGTTTAATATAAAATAATTTAAGTGAAAGAACACAATAGCAGAACATAGAATAACAGAACAATTCAGTCCTCTACTAAATCAATATGAGTTGCAGCAAAGACATTTAGCACATGTCACAAGACTTGGGAGAAACTCTGAGCAAATTACACTCAGACATTATGGAAAACAGGGTCACATTAGCTGGATGTATTTTCACAAATGCTCTCCAACAAAGCCTTTAGGTCCAGCTTTTATTTCCCACAGCAGCTGGGTTATTACCAAGCCAATGCGGTCCCAGTCTGTGCTTTCTATCACTGCGTCTGTTGAATATGTGTATGTGCTCTGGCCATTCAATCAGCCAGTGAAGGTTCTGGGAGCAGAGCTTCTTTTCTTTAGCTTTGACCCAAGAGGAACTGTATCTTGTCTCCTAGTACTCTGACTCAAAGATAAAACAACTGGTCATCCAGACCTGGACAAGTTTATTCTGTTTAGGCTACCACCGTGTTTACACTTTGTAGAAATATCAATCTACAAATGGTTTACTTAGTTGTCAGTTCAAAGTCAGCATGAAACAGAAGTTTCTTCCCTATTGTGACGTATATACCAGAGTGAAACGTCTTCTCAAACAAGAAATAATAGGGGGGTTCTTGATTTTGTCCATCAGGAATTGATTGAATGGTTGTGGTTTCCTATTGCTGTGATCTCATTTGAGTGACAGGTTGTCCCGCCCTTGTGCCAGAAAAAACCAAGAGATGAGGGGAAGTAATTTTCATTAAAGATTACAAGGGAACATATATATATTTTATTATTGATGTGCACTGATTAATCATTTACAATAAACACTGCTATTCCATAAAAAAAATCCATTTTGATTTCATGGTGACTTTAAGATGTAACTGTATGTTGCATAAGAAGTCAAGAGCATGAAAGAAAACAAGTATCCACACACATGCATAGAAACCTCAGAGGAACTGCCACTCCTGGAGACTTAA